TGACTCTACTTATCATGAGTTAAGGGAATGTTTTGAGTGCAGATATAGTTGCTATTTGAGTGCAGATATATTTGACTGTACTTATCATGAGTATTAGATCAGCCATATAGTTGCTACTATCTATGTGGTTGTATATTCATACATGGTGTTGATAAGTTTTCACTATATTTTTACTTTTACTCATGCTTCTACTTTTTCTATGTGCCTTGCTTTACAGATTTTAATTGTGTTTGTTTTTTATTCAACTTGTAGGTATTCTGCATTCAAATCCATCATTCAATCAACATGATGTTGCTGTGAGAGCACTGGGCATTGTTTTCAGGAAAACTACGGATAGAAAAAGTAGAAGCATGAGTAAAAGTAAAAATATAGTGAAAACTTATCAAGTTTATAGTAATTGTATTTGATGCTATTTGTATGCCTTCAAATTATATGGAATTTTGGATGAGTATTGTTGGTACTTGGTAGAATATGATATGTGGGAATATTGTATTTTTGTAAAACTCGTTTTTTTAATCATATGTAGTTAATGTGATTCTCTTAAATGTTTTCATTTATTGATATTGAATTGTTGTATTAAAAAATACGGATGCAAAGTGAAAAAAAAACATTTTGGTTTAACAAATCAGCAAATCGGTATATAGAGAACGGTCATTGTAACTTGTAAGTAGGTATTTAATAACGGTTAACTTCTACCACATGTTAAATGTGTAGCGAATTGTATTACATTCTATAACGGTTCATGTAGTAAACCGACATTGAAAACATTTCATAACGGTTCCTCAACCCCATATAAAAAGCGTCCCACTTTCAATGTCGGCAGGATCTATGTCGGGTCTAGAACCGACATAAAAAGTCAATTTTAACCGACATAAAAAGTGTTTTTCCCACTAGTGATTTTGAGCATTTCTTCATCAAATCTAGTTTATGTCCACCAAATTTCAGCCTAAAAATCTATCGGAAAGGCAGTTAAATAAATTATTGAAAAAACTGCACTTTTATATTTATACTTTGGCAGAGTCGTTTTCCATAATTTATTTAACTGCCTTCCCTATGGAGTTTTAAGATTAAATCCGGTAGGCATAAACTATACTTGATGAAGAATATGCTTAAAAAATTTTATAAAAACTTTTACCGGGAAGGCCCTCTGACGGCCTTGTCCGCACGGAGGTTCCTATGCATCCATATGTATATGAATTGTCCTCTATATATGCATATATATGCATATATATGCATATGTATGTATATATGTATATGTGTATGTATATGTATATAGGCAATGGTGGTTAGGGTTTCAGTGACGTTGGCGATGGCTGGAGTTTCAGTGATATCGTCGACAACTGTTGGAGTTCCTATTAAACCGATTGGGAAGTGCATAGTCACAATGTTTCAGTTACACTGACTGGTGAAGTCACTATGAATGGGCAACAATGATCAATGGATGGGTACATGTGGATGACGAGGTCACTAATAAGATCGATTTTTGTAGTCACTCACAACGTTTGCAGTCACGACATAACATCAACGAGTTTGAGGTCACTAATATCAATCTGAGTAGTAAGTGAGGATGTTGAGATGAATTCATTTGTAACTACTTATGCAACAATGGTCCATGTTCTATTAGTCAACACTATACTTGTACTTAACACCCTGTCAACCTGCCGATGGCCACAAAACATGGTCCATGCACTATGAGTCAGTCATCCACACATCTGTCATGAGGAAGAACAAATTTAAAAAATACTATGCTTTCGTTCCAAATCAAACATTAAACACACCAACACATACATCCATGCTCTAGATTCTTAGTATACAAGTCCCGTGTCATCGTAAATCATCCTTTTGGTAAGTCGTGGCTTCTTGTGTATTCCATCCGGGGGGGAAAAGAAGCTTAAAAATATCAAAGTACTCATGAATCATCCCTTTCAGCTACACAACTCGCATGCCATTTAAGTGTTTCATGTTTTTTTTTTGAATGGAAATGGTTAGTAAAATCTATCCATTCATGGTAATTACCATATTACAAACTCAAGCACATTAGTCAAACTATGGGAAACAATGTTTTAAGGCACTTATTTCAAGGCACTTATTTAAGAAAACGTTTTAAGGCACTTTATGATGTAAATTTCCATACAACTCTGCTACAATCTTATATATTATGTAAAATTATATTAACCCAAAATCTACATTCTTTAAAAATTAAAATCTATGTTGAGAAATCCCCTCAAAAGTAATGCTTTTAAGTATGTGTTTTTTGGCTCAAATTTAGTACTTTAAACCTAAAAATGGAAGTGGGGGAGATATATATGCTTACTTTTGTTATTATGAAAAAACATTTTTTAAGTCAAACATTCTAAATTTTATTTTTCCAACATATTTCTTTTCCAAACATGATCAACATTGACTATTAAATACTATTCATGTATCATTAAAACAAACAATTTTCAAAACTAGAAGCAAACACAAACACTACTTAAATGAACGTTGATATGTGATCCTCGCTTTATAGTGATTATAGTAATTTTGTTAATTCGTTAACATGTTTTGATATCATATGTTATTTTTTTAATTTACTTTCCACTTATGGAATTAATTAATACGGAGTATTATATACTTTTTATCGCTAATACTTTCAAAAGAAAAACCTCTGCTTCACCTCTTTTGTTATTTTATTAATTACACCCCATTTATAGCATTGATTTATACCACACACTAACTATTCACAAATGTTTTAATTTAAAAAAACGTATAAGATAAAAAAGAAAGTGAAATTGGGTGTTTTTAGCCGTTTTTAAGTTATTTTGAAATAACTCGAACTTTTAGAATATAGCTTGTTTACTAACACCAAAGTTGATCAAATATGTTGAAATTGGAGAAATTTTTATTAAAGCAGTTAATTGGCTGGATTATGATAAATTATACTATGTATATATATATACACTATATATGTAAGCAATATCATACAGTTCAGCTAGAATAACAACCCAACTTTACTTATTTTGATTATACATTAATCAGTAAACGGATCAACGTTTATGCATTTGATAAAAATTGATTGAATTGATAAGTCAAAGATATGTGTTATCAGGTTCTAAATTTTAGCTCTTCATAACTGAAATACCATCTTTTTACTCTTCAACTCCACCAACAGTGAATGAATTTTGTTCAAGGTGCATGTAGCTATTGTTAAATGGTATTAGTTCGATCAACCCGATATAATTTTGAGGATAATTTCTCTTCTCTCATAAAAAATGATTAATTTCTCTTCTTGTTCATCGCCTGCCAACTACTGGTATAACTCTAAAAGTCAATCTACTACGTGAGCAAGACGTTGAAGAAAACTATTAATTTTAATTATGGGACCTTTGATTGGTCCTAAAATAGTTGCTTTGTGAAGGGCATTTTTGTATTTTAACCGAATGTTATATTACAAATATTTTCTTATAAACGATATCCATTTTAGCTTTAAAAGGTTACTACATTATACTTCCTTCGTTCTTAAATAAATGCAACGGTTAACATTTCACATCTGTCGATGCACAACTTTGACCATTAATATATATAATTCTCTATTAGGAAAAAAATTAAAAAAAATTAGATTTTCAAAATTTACAACGAGACAAATTTAACAATATTTTTTCAAAAATATATATTAATACATTAATAAATAAAACGTAGTCAAAGTAGAACATGTGAATAGTGTAAAATTTCAAATGTTGCATTTATTTAAGGGAAAACTGTCAAATAAGTCTATCTAGTTTTACCAAAAAGTCAATTAAGTCCACATACTTTTTATTGAATCAATTAAGTCCTCCAAGTGTCAAAATTTAACCAAATCGTCCTTTCAGCCGGTAATCGATCGGTTTTCCGGTTAGATCGTGTAGCTGGCTGTTTTTAAATACCTTTTCTTTTAATTCATTTTTCTCTTTCCCCTATTTTTTTCTCTTTCCCCTATTTTTTTCTCTTTCCCCTATTTGTTTCTTTCCTTAGTGCCCTGCGTCTAGCCGTCAACTGCAACTCTAGCAGTCCAGGAGCTTGGCTTTCCTTAGTCCTTCAATCTTCTTCCTGGCGGATCCACCACCGGGTTATGGGGGTAGGGGTGGCGGAGGGAGAAGCTACGGAGGTAGGGGCGCCGGAGTAGAGGCTTCGAAGGTGGTGGCCATGGAGGTTGGGGTGGTTGCAGGTCGCTCCAATGGAGGAGACGAAGGTGGAATCTGCGGAGGTGGTTGTTGGGACAGTTGGTTGCGGCTTTAGGGAGGTCGGGGCGGTTGGAGGTCACTGCAGTGGACGAGCCGGAGGTGGTTGTTGGAGGCGGCGGGTACGGAGGTAGAAGCGTCGGAGATGGAGGTGGCGCGCGGAGAAGGTGGCTACGAAGACGCACAACGGAGATGGATATCGCGGTGGTGACCGGTTTGGAGGTGGGGCGGCATAAATGGAGGAAACATGGCTGTGGGTGGTTGAAACATGAATAAAGGGAGTGGAAACGGAGAAAGACGAAAAAAGTGGGGAAGGGGTAAACAAGAAAGACAAAAGGGGAAGAAGAAAAAAAGGGAAAAAGGAAAAGGAAACAAAAAAATAGGAAAACTACGATCCACGTCGGCTATTCACCGGAAAACCGGTCCATTACCGGTTAAATGAGCGATTTGATTGTTTTTTTATACTTGAAGGACTTAATTGATTGATTGAAAAGTAGATGGACTCAATTGACTTTTTAGTAAAACTAGATGAACCTATTTGACAGTTTTCCCTTTATTTAAAAACGAAGGTAGTACTAATCAGTATCAAATACTTTTTAAAAAATCACTAAAAAACATCTTTGTAAATGTGAGATACTGCAGTCAAGTACTTTGTTGATTGATACATTCCAAAAGAAGAGATTACAAATTTGAATCTCAATGTAAGAATATTAACCAGAATACATACTACAATAGTATAATAGATTAGAAAGTAGGACAAAAAAAGCAAATAAACCCAAATTTCGTCTTAATAATTAGCGACCCATAAAAAGCAAATTAACGAACTCCCAGTAAACTAATTCATGAAACCCATTCTTCCTCCCCTCCGCTCCCTCCATGGAACCCAGACCATTTTTCTTTCTACTTTATTTTCGTTTGTTTCTTTTGCCCCATAAAATTACAAATCATCACCAAATTTCATTAATGAATCTGACCTCAGTTTACGACCAAACTCACAGTCCTGCTTTAGTGAGACACTTTTTAATTAATGCGTTTACTCATTCGGATTAAAATACTGCGTTTAGATTAGACCAACCTAATAACTGGTTGCAAAATTCACACTCTTTCTTCATCTACTCCAATCCTCACAAACAGCGGTAAGATGTTTCTCCCGTTAGGGTTTAAACGGATGATCAGTTCTTCTTGTACATGAAAGTCAATTCAATCTAATAGTCTAATAGAATTCAAAGTCATATGGACACATTTGACTCCAGTTGATCATGTGAGTTCTAATCAGTGATAAGCAATTTCGAATTTCATTTTGCAGCTTAGGCAGGAGCCATAAATGGCGTCATTTGGACCAATGAAAGTGGAGATGGAGGACCCTCTCGAGGAACAGCACGCACCTCTCTGTAAACGATCAAGGCTATCTGACTCATCGTCACTGACACTTGATCATCAGGTCTTTCTTTTTTCCTAATAGTCAAATGCATGAAGTTAGACTTTCACAACATGGTTAGACCTACGAATGCATGAAGTTTTGTGCTGTTATTTTTTAGTGCAACTGTGCAATGTTATAGTGGTTGTCAATTGAGCTGTGAAGTTTACTTTTGTTCATTTTTTAGTTGTGCTCTTGTAACTCAAAGATTTATTTTTAAGCACCAAAGCAACTGAAAAAACATACAAAAGATGAAATCTTGCTAAAAATTTATGGCTGTTTTGTGTTTAGTCCATACTAGATTCTTCACCCATGTGATGCACGGGACGGAAATCAGTCAAGAACTTTATACGAGTATGTGGTTAGTAAAAATATCTACAACTTGAGGAACTTTTAAAATGCAGGTGAAATATAATAAATGTAAATAATAAAAAAATGCAGTACCATGGAAAGCATATAATTTCTAAGAGACCAATCCTTAGAGACCTATTTGTATGAATTAAAGAAGTTTCTCCGAATTTCAACGCTTTGTAGGGACCACTTTTATGGCGAGAAGAATATACCCGATTTACATGCGTCATTTTGAATGAAAACACTATACGTCAGTGCATTGTTCCTACCCAAATTAACTCATACTCTGTATGTTTCTAAGCCAATTACCTCGCTAATTTCTTACGGTTCACAATGCGCCGCACATTGGAAATATTTATCTGTTAAATAATATTACCTATAATTTACATAATGTTAATCAACAAAAACTGCTCATCAAATGGGTAATTGTAAAAAATTGAACAATTTATAGTGATACAAATGCTAAAAATTCACAAAAGTTCCACATTTAAATCAAAACAACTATATGTTCTATAAACATTTACAAAACATTAGTAATAAGGGGTTTTTTCAAAAATATTACTAAAATAAAACTTATTTACACAAATATGACTAATAGTTACTACAATGTAATTTCATGGAAACTTAGGTTTAAAAATTGAACATAAGTTAGTATGATTCCATTACTACTCTAGTCACTAGTCATATTTTTGCAAACAACCTTTATTTTAGTCATATATATGTAATTATTTCTAGTAATAACTGCACATGATAAAAGGTATTTGTTAGTCATATGGAATAATCTCTTTTTATGTCACCACTATATTTGAGAATATTAATTTTAATTTTATATTATATTACCACATATATTTACAGCAACTACCACTTGAATACTTTTTTAATGCAGAAACATGATGTAATCATACATACAACAACAACATCCAGGCCTTAGTTCGAGAAAAGTTTGGGGTCTGCTAACATGAATCGACATATGAAATCAGAGCTAAACAAGATAAAAAAAAGATGATACAACCAAACATATACTCCGTATAAAAACTTTTAATTATAAAATATGTCATAAGAAGCATGATAATTTGTAACTGCTTTTCAGTTGGAAAAAAGGAAAAAAAATATAGAAAAAAAACAGAATAGACAAACAGACCTTAAGAATAATAGTTAGAGTGAAAACTTCTTGTAAAGCAGGTATGCTGAATATTCTCAATTGTATGTTGAACGTTCTCTATTGTACATTTCTATGGAGTACTCTACATAGTAGTTTTATAGAATCATATAGGCCAAGTTGGCATCCCCACCACCACTCAGTTTGTAACTGGGGTCCCCACTAAAAATGAGTGGTGTTGGTGATGACGACTTATCCCGTATGACTTCATACAAGAGTCATATACCGTAACCGCTCTATAAATCTTTTGGTACTTTATAGGAGCTTTGTGGTACCTTAGGGTTGAATTATACTTTCCCACCCTTATGGTGATGCATTGGAAATCGGAACATAAAGGTGATGCATCGATATAGTAATAGACACGTGACGCGTGCATGATCTGAACCAATGATTGTACTTTTGTTGTAAACCGAAGCAATTGAATGGGCTGTAGATCAAGAATAGCAATCGTACTTAATTGTTACATCCAAAAAATCTGACCAGTTATTTATCCGGATCGACCTAGTATTAATCCAGTACGTTGGACGGGAAAATGAGCTGGTTTTTCTCTTTCCTTTGTATATAGTTCGATACGAAGTGCACTAGTTGATATTCCCTTTTCAATCTTTCCGCGGCCGGGATGTGATTTTATTTTAAGTGTTCCGCTGCCAAGATATGACATTAATTAATAATTACTTAGAAAGTTTCTTAAGATATCTAAATTGGGGAAACCCTATTTATCATTTTTTCCCTTTAGCGAAATCGAAATCGAAATCAGCTGTATATTTTATTACAAGATGCACCCGTCATGTATAGCACTAAAGCTGGTTTGTTAAAGCATCTGCACATCTGCATTTTAGTTTTTCAACAAGGGACTTTTTGCAACAAGAAAATTTGAGCAACTGGAGGCAGTGGAGTATATACTTAGGTTTCATAGTGCCGTATTGTCAGATTATGAATCCCACTATTAGTTTTATTGGAGATTCCCTACTACATTTTACATTTCCTTTTACATTTGTTAATATTTATCAATGTTGAACAGTGGAGTGTTGGATGTTATCAATTCCCAGTTCCACCCTCACAGTACAACCCACTTGATGAGCCTAGCCCATTGGGTTTGAAGCTGAGGAAGAGCCCATCTTTGTTGGACTTGATCCAGATGAGGCTTTCAGAAAGCAATGCTTCACCGATCTTGCCTGTTTCAAGTAATCAACCTTATGAAAACAAGAAGGAAGAGTGGGGATCCTCTACTTTGAGCGTAACTGATAAGTTGAAGGCCTCTAATTTTTCTGGCTCACTTCTAAAAATAGGTTCATGGGAGGTATTTTCTCTAGAAATTTGAGTATAGTTTTAATTTAAATTTTCATAATTTGTCTATTACTCTGAAGTTGTATCCTCTGTCCAGTATGTGTCAAGATATGAAGGTGATTTGGTGGCAAAGTGTTACTTCGCTAAGCAAAAGATTGTTTGGGAAATACTTGATGCCGGTTTAAAGAGTAAAATAGAGATCCAGTGGTCTGATATTATAGGCTTAAGAGCAGACTGCCCTGATAATAGCTTGGGCACTTTAACCGTTGCGGTAATGATGATTATTCTTTCTTATCTACTCTGTAACTTCTCCCCTCAGAGTTGTTCTGCTGACGTGTTTTTTTATTCAGCTAGTTCGCCAGCCCCTTTTCTTCAGGGAAACTAATCCACAGCCCAGGAAGCACACTCTATGGCAAGCAGCGCCAGATTTTACTGATGGACAAGCTAGCATAAATAGGTAAACAATACTTCAAATCTTTTTCGGTGAATACGGAAACATTTGTTTCTATGAATTTGGTTGTTTATTGAGTTTTCCCGTGTGACTGTGTGTTAGAGCTGAATAGTTTCTTTTTCTTTTGCTGGCAACACCTGTCATTGCATTTTTACTGGAGTTACATATTTCCACTTGTAGAACTTTGGTAAAGATGTTAATCACATTCCTCTCTTTATGCCTGCGTTTTTGGAGGGTATATTTAGTTATATTTAAACTTATACTTATAGTTACATATATAGTTATTCTTAAATTTATATCTGTAGTTATGACCATATTTATATTTATATCTATGTGTATGCCCCCACGCATGCCCATATCCATCTCCATACCCACCATATACATATCTTATCAATATCTACATATTTCTATATATGTGTGTGTGTATTTATATAATAGAGATTATTTTGGAATTAACATTCATGAATTAATGAACATGAAGCATTTAGAAATGATCATGAAGCTTTACCCAAACACTTCAAAATTTGACTCCCAGGTCTAACTTCTAAGAGCCATGAGGGATTCTAAAATTAGTTTCTAGAACTATAAACAAACACCCCCATAGTGTACGACGTCCTGGAGCATCCTTTATGTAACCAAGAATTTGTCCTAGGCAGCCCAATGATGAAGTGGAGAGGATGCCATGTATTGACTTAGAGTATGCATTATCTATGTGGGTTGCTATCAAATAGTTCAATTTTCCCACCAATCATCTGCACCTCTCCAGATCTTTAAAGGGTTCTCCCTCTTTTGTTAACTATAAGCTAAGTTCCAACTTCCCAATTTTAGACTATACACATAGCACATACTTCGTTTGAGAAGGTAATATTCCTTTCTTTCACAAAAGTTGGTGCAAAAGTAAGTTTGTTTTCTAACACTCTAGCATGATACTATAAAGTTGTTTTAGAAAGACACTCTTCTTAGAAAAATATTGGACACGTCCTAAAGTGTCCTCATCATTTTCGCTCTGTCCCCATTTTAGAAAAAATGGAACATGTTAGGCATGTTCCTTATTTGTTTCCGCGGCCCTCACACGTATTTCACTTTTTTATGTGTCTGTTCTTCATTGTAAAAACCTTCAACATACTTCATAGACTGAAAACTTGAACATGGATATGGAAAGTCTAAACATGAACTCAAACCGGACATAACAATTTGATATTGGAAGTCTAACTCAACTTTGACTCTGGGTGCCCGCTTGAGCATCCACAACTTGTACTTTACCTCACTGATGTCCACCTGAGACCCTCAAAACATGACTTGGCTTGAAAGCGCAAAACTTAAGACCTGATTTGAGTCGTTTGCCTAAAAACTTGAAAGGTGGAATTGGTTTGACATGAAAACCTGAAATTAAAAACTTGATTTTTCTTCTTCACGATTCTTGTTATCTGTTGTTCTAACTTTGTTCTACATAATTTCATTTATGGTTCCCGCTTTTGCTACACCATTATGATTGCAAGTTGCAACAACTGCATTATTATCATCATTCTAGACTCATTGTTCTTCTTCATATGTCGATCTGCCCTTGGCCGCGGAGGAATATCGAAGGGCTGATGACCACTATCTGGTTCACTGATGTGTCTGACCTGTGGCCGTTAACTATGCTCAAAGCAGAGTTCTTACGGCAGAGGCCATACTCCAAATGCTAGGTTGTCCTCTGTTCATACTAGTTTACTTGTGAACCTCTGCCTTGGCAGAATGGAGAGCAGAAAGATATGCCATCACCAATTCTATTTCTCCCTCACAGTTTATAATTGGCCACTGTGGATTCCATTGTGAAAACTGATCACTAAGAAAAATTGGTACAACGTACGTGTCTTGATGAGAACAGATTATTGGCATTGCAAAGTTAGCAATTTCAATATTAAAATGTCTGATAGAACTCTCGCAGGTAGGTAAGATTACAGAAAAGATGAAAATAGTCTTCAAGAAACAATCTCAAGCTTTCATTAATGGTGGAAAGTGTACAGAGTCCCACGAAACGAGATACCAATATCTCAGCTTCTCCTAGCCCAAACTAACTGTCTAACAGCCCCCTCTCTTCTTCCCCCCTTCCCTACTCTTATAGTATTTCTATTTCTTTAAAGGGCTGGCCCATTATTCCTACATGGCCCAGAACCTTCATTTATACCCTATTACACTCTTTAATACTATTCTATTATTCTTATTAGTATTAATGTCCGTGATCCTATCAATGTCACAACCAGGTATGAATGATTCAGGCAATTTAGTTTAGATAGTCCAAAAGTTGAGGGAGTTATGAAATGAACTTTCGGATTTCAAATTAGATAATATAGCAGTTTAGGTGGCCAGGTGGAGGCAGCGCCGTGGTGGCTGGGAGGCAATGGCAGGGCTTGCAGTTTGATAATTTATTTCTCTTCTTAATTGTTTCTTTTTAGCTTTTTTGTTTGGGGGGGGGGGGGTAATATGTACATTAATTTGACTCTTCTTTTTAAATCTCATTTTGTTGCTTTTATGTACAAAAATATTATGAATATATTTATGTAATTGATTTAGACATAGTTACGTCTGGATCCCTAAATTCTTTTGTGTTAAACATGTTAGGTGTTACATTTGTGGATTTCCATCATTTCAATTAGAGCCAAGGACTCACTATTTTTTGCTTGGTAATATGATGGAATAAAGCAAAGTGGCTCACTAAACTGTCTGCTCTTCTTTGTTATGAAGCAGTAGTCAGTCTATGCAATTTTCGTCGAGATTTTCATCATGGGTCATCCGGAAACAGTCTCTCTGTGCTTTGGTACAGGGGTAAGGCTGCGTGCATCCGACCCCCCCTAGCCCACCGTAGGTGGGAGCCTTTGCGGCACTGGGGTAATGTTGTTGTTGTTGTTGTACACTTTCTTCTACGTAAACCGATAGGTTCTTTTATCTGCCTAAGTTTTTATTTTAGTTATTGGCTTATTGCAAGTGCTGTCCTTAAATCGTTTAAACTCATGTATTTCTTATTTATGTGAAAAATCTTAAAATGAACTAGTTAAGTGTGATTTTTGTGAAAGGAATCTCAAATAGACATAGTGTGATTTTTGTGAAAGGAGTCTCAAAAAGATAGGAATCTCATGCTCCTCTAGTTAAGTGCATACTCAGTTTTTTGAAGTTTCCCCAGACAGAAGCTTTGATTTTGCATGACCTGTTAGAGTATTAGCTTACAGTACCTTGCATTTCTGTCTCATTTTCTATGGCATTATAAACACCCTTTGGTGTTTAAATAGTCAATAGATCTTTTGGCTCTGCGCATTAAGTTTTCTTTTCAGTAAACAAATAGGCCGTATTTTTCATACCCAGGTTTTCCCCCAGATATAGCAATTCATGTTTGTTTACACTTTACACTCGCCTTTCTTATGTAATAAAAGAAAGCTAAAAAACTAGCAAAGTCTGAATTTTAATTGCAAGTGCATGTTTGATTTTTTGTAGGGCCCTCAGAGGCTTTTGTTACACATGGCCTGTTAACATAATATACTCCACCTTGCATTTTTTTTTTGAATGATCTCACTTTTCTTTTTCGTAAACAAACAGTTTTGTGTTGTTACCCTGATATATCATACCCATGCTTTCAATTTCAGATATTTGAAGTGCTGTTTTTCAATTGTTTACCCTTGTGTTAATTCCTTTTTATGTAAATGAACTAGTGAAGATATTTGTTGCAAGTGCATGCTTTGGTCTATCAGTCTATCAGGAGCTGCTTATTTATAATAAACGAGCTCGAACATGTCAGACTGTACTTTGCCATTATTATCTCCATCTCTTCTTGGGAAGTGTAAACACCATTTGGTGTTTAAATAGACATATACTCATATGGCCAGGTAATGGATTCTTTGTTGTGATCTGAACAGGCTACACGTTCTACAGTGTCCACCAGGTGTCTTGAATAAGCATTATGAGAAGCTAATAATGTGTGATGCACGACTTCACTTTTTGAGTCAGCAGCCTGAAATACTAATAGATTCACCTTATTTTGAGTTGCAACACTCCATAGTTGATGACTCTGTCAAATTTAAAGGCCAAAGTCTAGCTCTACTTGGTGCTTCGAGAGGATCTCCATCCGCACGTGTTCAATGTATGGCATCATCACCAGCTCCTGGACAATCTTCTATAAGTTTTGAGCAAGATCTCATCAATGGAGCTCCTGAACACTCTTTCAAGAATTCTCCTTCTCCCAGCTCAGGTTGGACATGCATTTTTCATTATACATTAAACAGCTTCATAGCATTTCTTTTCGATTAACCCTTCTGTTGGAATGAGGAATTTGGAGAAATACATTATAGCCACTGCGGTTATGATGTTGCCTAGTCGGCCACTAGGCGTCCAGGTGCTGGGCAGTTGTCCTTAGGTGCCATTGCCTCGCCTGAAGATGACAAGGCGACTGTGGTATCGTCCTGGCGCAGTCCGGGCGTTGTCATGGAGAAAAGACGACGCCGGAATATAGAAACAGATACTTTTCAGATAATAGAAACCCAGCCCAAAAAATTAATTTAATTATAAATAATAAATTTAAGAGCCCAGTCTAATGGATCAACGAAGGAAGTCTAAATTTCAGAAGGAAAAGAACCCTATGCCTGAAATTTCTCATCCCTTGCAGGTCCCTCTTTGGTTGCAACTTGCAAGATTTTCCTTTCTCTCTTTCTGTCTGCACTTCCGTCCTCGTCTGTTAGTTCATTTTTATGTTTTTCTTGTTCTTTCTCTGTAATCTATTCTTTTTCCTTTTTATGCTTTAGACATATATAATGTCATGCAGTGGTGCAGTATGCTAGAATGCCAGTAATTAATTTAAATTTAAACCTATGCTTCATAAATATTAATAGATGAATTAGTTCTTGATGATTTTTGAGAACCCAGTAGTTTAAATATTTTAATTGATTATTTGAATTAATAAACTTTTATTTTGAATTATTAACTGTTGGCTTCAATAATAGGTACCATATAATTTAATTTGTAATATCTAACATAGTACTAATTAACTCAAGAAAGTAAAATTATATGGTGGGGGTTGGTGTAAAAAGGTGAAAAACAATACCAGTCACTTGAATATTTCTGTACTAGGAAATGCGAAAAAAATTTGTTGACATTCCAAAACTTGATTCGTCATTGCTAGTTGCTACATATGCTTTTTCATAAGCAATCAATTTTGCTAAATCTATGAACACCCTGCATTGCATAATCCGTCTTCTTCTTAAATAATCACACTATTCAAATAAAGTGGATAATCCATGGGTTTAGATAGAATTAATGTTTCCACTAATGTTATTTATTTTTGCTTTGTCTAGTTATGGATACCTGCACAATTGAGAGGAATGGAATATACATCAAAGGAATGAATGTTCTTGAAGGCAGAAATTATTGGGAACAATTCAAAGCGTCTGGACTTCAGCGCCCATCAATTTCAATGAATGATCTGGTCAACCGCATCGAAAGTTGTATCTCGGAACAGGTCAACTCGGGTAATATGCATTTCAACAAGGCATCAGAATGCCAGGCCGTGTTGGAAAACGTTGCAAACATTTTGATGAGTGATAATCAATGCGCATCAGCTTCAGATGAAAAATCTCTCTTGAAAAGGGTTGATTCTCTTTACTGTCTCTTGCAGCAGGATACTGCCAGCCTGAACAGTTCCCCTGTGGTTGAAACTGAAAAACTGCACTTTGGTGGAGGAGAAGCTTCTTCACTTGAGGAGGAGGCTAAGGTCTCTGGAGAGGACAATGGTAGGCAAGCTCCCTCTGTGATAACGAGGAATGACTCTTTTTCTGACTTGCTCCATCAACTCCCTCGCATTGCTTCACTTCCTAAGTTTTTGTTTGACATTGCTGAAGATAATGGAATACAGCAATTCTCTCAGAGCACAGGGCAACAAGAGTTCTTTTAGGCAGGCAGCTCATTGCTTTCTGTTCTGCATGTTGACGGAAGCTGCCGCCTAGTAGCTAGCCAATGGATTTGAGGGAAAGGGTTTGTGGCATTCGGAAATTCACTTTTATGATGATTCCCATTGTCTTTCCCCTTTCGCGCGCTATTGTAGTTATTATTATTATGTAGTGTGAAGTGCTTAGACATTAATTTATTTATTAAATTGATTATTTTTGAAGGGGAGTCTTGCCCCTTGTACATTCTTGTGTTGTGGCAGGACCCTCGCCTTGTGGGGATGCTTCATGCACCGGGCTGCCCTTTTTCCTTTTTAAATTGATTATTTTAACTTCAGATATAATAATTTTAGTCGGGCATTCTGAAATCTAGCAACTGCAGTATTCTTCAATTAATTGATGTATTTGCTCATCTCTCTTTCAAGTGTGCTCTTCAAGTATCCCTCAGGGAGGCCTAGCCCGACTGGTTGGGAAGGCATTGATTGGGCTGAAAGCAGTCTTATTCCATACAGGTCTCTGCTCCAAAAGCTAGAATCTTAATCTTTAGCAGAACTAGGAGTAGTCACGATCCCAGGAGGGCTCTGGATTGCGACTGTCCAGTTTTCCAACAAGAACCGGCTAGCCGGCTCCCAGTCAGAATCGTAACTAGTAGAGGGGATAGGTCCCGGTCTCGGGTGGGGAAACATTGACCGGAGGTCCGGAACCAACCGCTCCGGTCTCTACTTAATGAGACTAGTTTATTTAATTATTTTCCATCCGTTGCACAACAGATCGGGGAGCCTCTTCGAATGGCTCTTTTGATAGTTGGAGGTAAGGATGGACCGATACCGGGCCCAGTGGGCTTTTTCTCTCCAAAAATTGGGCCCGGTACCGATCCAGTTTCTACCGGGCCCGGGTCGGGCCCAACAGTACCAGATCGAGCCTAAACCCGAATCCCGCCTCATATACCACCAGTCTGGGTACCAGGCCTGGTACCGGTCCCAAAAAACTGGACCGAGCCTAAAAAATACCGGGCCGGTCTCGTGTCGGGCCGCCCGGGCCTAGTCCATCCCTGGTCGGAGGTGTGTGGGTTAGAAAAAAATCCATAATTGTCTCCCATTTTCTCAAATTTTCCTACAACTGCCAATTCTAATCTATACTGTACTACTCTCTATTCTTCATCTATTGTTCTATCTACATCACATTACCGATTTATTATTCTTCATTTATTTCTTTAAGATAATTATACTATTATTAGTAGTTACATTATTAGTAATTTAGTATTAATGATTATACTTTTATTGTTTCCATCATTTGCAATGGAGCCAAAGGCTCAATATTTTTTGGCTTGAGAATATGATGGAATAAAGCAAAATGACTCATTAAACTGTTTGCGCTTCTTTGTTATTAAACAACACTTAGTCCATGCAATTTTGGACGCAATTCTCACTATGGGTCATCCGAAAATAGTCCATATGTACTTTAGTACATGGATAAGACTGCGCACATCCGACCCCTCTTACCTCACCGTAGATGGAGCCTTTGCGGCACTCAGGTCATGATGATGGTGATTATACTTTTATTGTTTGACATAGTTGTTTACAAATCATATATAGTATACACTAATACAGAGTATTTATTACGGAGTAGTTTATAATATTGTACACCATTTTTACTTTTACCAATAATATACTACTTATCTTATTACTCTTATTGTAGTAATTATGACTCCGTATAAGAATCATATTTTTTCACTAATCATATTTTATACCATCATACACCTATACTAATATTACAATGTCGATTAGTGCATATTATTGTACAATTTTTGTATTTCTGTAAATACATTACTACTCCCATGAGTACGTAACTTTTTAATTAATTTACAAATGAAAAATTACATAGTAGATCGTGCAGCAAATAATCCAAAGAAGTATGGCAACATACTTCTAGAAATGCTTGAGCAATATAATATAAAAAGATAAGTAGTAATATTTCCACAAGTAGTAATATATACACCTTAGCTGACTAGCTGTATCATCCGTGAGCCAACATAGCCTAGGAATTTTCTTTTATATCGCTTCCTTTGAACTTTAAGGTGGTGAACAAGGTAATCTACTTTGAACAAATTAAAGCTCTTGTTGGAGGTATTGGTCCTACCAAGGCCTCCCTTCCACTTTATTTGTTGAGGCTTGCACCCTATTGTTTTACTCCCACTTTGGTACCTTTACCTTGGTATTTTATCTGATCAATAATATACCTGTTTGAGGGTTGACTTACCCACTTGGCTGGCCCCTTTGTGTTCTGTCCGCTGCATCACTTTGTCTTGGCCTATGCTTGTGACTTTCCTTTGTCTAAGAAGCATGTGAGTGCCTTTTGTTTTGACCTCACCCGTGACTTCCTTGGCAGCCTATTAATAGTCTTTGCTTCTTCCTTGTGAGACTCAGCCTGCGAGTGATACCTTCCTGAGAGCAGTGCTCTCCTTCTCTTTCCCTTTGTGTGAGAACTGAGAGGGACTTAGTGGTTGAGATAAAAACTTAGAGTTGTGCAAAGCCTCCCCTAAAGTGGTGTGTGAGAGTGTGTAGAAAGACCTGAGCCGGAGACGGAAGTATACGATCCTTACAGTGGTATCAGAGAGAGGTTCGCCGTCTGCCGCCGTCCCCCGCCGCCGTCCGCCGCCGCCGTCCGCCGCCGCCGTCCGCCGCCGCCGTCCGCCGCCGCCGTCCGCCGCCGCCATCGATTGGAGCTTGCTGGAGTTCCCTAAGGCCTGGTTCTTCGCCGTTCGCTGCCCGGAGGTTGAAATAGACTTCCTCTGACCGAAGCTTGAAACCCTCGCCGGAATCTAAAGCTTCGCCGTCGTCGCCGGTGAGTCCCGTTACGTCACCTGGGAGCTCCGCCATCATAGTTGCAGGAGCCACGTCGCCGGAGCAGAGAGCTGGCCAGAGGGCTGGCAAATCGTCCGAAGTTGAAGCCCCATCACCGCCTCCGGAAGCTCGCCACCGGAAACGATCCAGAAGGTGAATCCACCGCCGCCGCAGAAAGATCGCCGCCGCAGGGAAGCACGCTACAGCTGGAAACAAAACTCGACGTCCGGAGATAGCTCGCCGTCCAGAGCTCGCCGCCGTCGCCTGGGCTCCCGCCGGTGGTCGTTCCTCGCTGGTCCGCAAGCCGCTGGAGCAAAGGGATTTTTTTTTTCATTTCGCAGGTCTGGCGTACAAAAGACGCAACTTTGACCAGGGGCTGCTGTGCTGATTGTTTGGGCCGCTGGGTTGCACTGCTGGACGGACCTTTATTGCTGGGCTGGAATCAAGCTAGTGGACTATTGGGCCAGTCTATTTGACTGCTGGAGCTGCTGGACCAGGAGAGCTGCTGGACTTGGACCTGGACTGTTGGGCTGGATTTACTGCTGGACCTGGACCTGGAACTAGTCAACCGCCAGTCAACGCCGGTCAACCGCCGGTCAACGCCGGTCAACAGTCAGTCAACATCTCAGAAAATCCCAATTTTTTTTAATTGGGTAGGTAAGGTCGAAACGCTCTCCTAGGGTTTCGCGAAGGTAAGTTTTCTGTAAACTTCCTATTTGTTATATTCCGTTTTTTAAATTTAATTTTAATTTTATTCCCCCTCCCCGCGGGCCGCCGGTTGATTTATCCCGGCCGCCAACCCCCCTGGTACGTTTTCTAAACTCACTCCTTTGTGGTAGTTTGTTTTAATTGATTAATTAAATTGCTTTGTGTTATTTAATTTAATTGTTATGCATAGGGGTGGTGTATTGGGTGGTAGGGGTAGAATTAATTAATTTTAATTTTCTGCCCGGAATTGTTTGATTGCCATTATGTCCATTTTTTGCTATGTGTTGCATGCTGCCCGGGGTTATTAAAGTGAATACTTTATAGTCCGGGTTGGATTATTTTCTGTCAATTCAGTCTGTTTAGCTTTGTGTTCCTTTGTGGTTGATACCATGGCTGCGAATCAGTATGGTATGCTTCCATTTAATGGAAAAACAGATTTTGATATTTGGAAACAGAAAATAAAGTGTGTTTTAATACAGCAAAAAGTTTTCAGAGCTGTCACTGGTATTTTCCTTGAATCAGAAGATAAGGCTAAGCAAATTGAAATGAACGAAACTGCTTGTTCGACTATTTACTTGAACCTGTCTGATTCTGTGCTTAGGAAAGTGGGTATTCTTGAGTCCGCTAAGGAGTTGTGGGAGAAATTGGATAGTCTCTATACTGATACCTCTTTGCCCGGGAAGTTGTTCTTACTAGAGAAATTCTTTAGGTTTAGGCTTGACCTGACTAAGGATATAGATGAGAACCTGGATGTGTTTAATAAACTGATACAAAATATCAAACAGGCAGGTGATAAACACATAGATGATTACACTCCCATAGTATTACTTAATGCCATTCCCGACTCTTATAATGATGTTAAGTCCGCTATTAAGTACGGTAGGGATGAGATTTCGTTAGACATTGTTGTGAATGGGTTAAGAAGTAAGGAATTAGACCTGAAGCATGCTAGGGGTAGTGCTAGTCAGTCCAGGGACTCCGGTGAGGCTATGTTTGTGAGAGGTAGATCTAAGGGTAGGTCTAAGAACTCTAAGCAAAATAGTCAGGGTAAGAACACTAGTCAGTCTGGGAGGAAGAGGAGTAAATCTAGGAAGAGAGTGTGTTACAATTGTGGTAACACTGGCCATTTCATTAAGGATTGCCCCCACCCTAAGAAGACTGAGCATGCCAGTGTAGCTGTTGATAAATGTGACCTTGGTGATATTTTGATGGTTTGTGACCATGTTAATTCTGTGAGAAATTCTCTGTCTGAGCATGAATGGTTGATTGACTCTGGTTGTACCTATCACATGTCCCCCTTTAGAGATTTGTTTTCTACTTATGAGTTATGTGATAGTGGCTACGTTTCCTTAGCTGATAATAAGAGATGCAATGTGCTTGGTGTTGGTGATATATGTCTGAAGTTTTCTTGTGGCTCTGTGTTTACCATTAAGAATGTGAGGCATGTCCCTGATTTGTGTCATAACTTGTTATCTGTTGCTGCTTTGGAGAGTAGTGGGTTGCAGGGAAAATGGGGGAATGGTTGTATGAAAATCCTGAAGAACTCGCTTGTTTTGTTTAAAGCTGAGAAGGTGAATAACCTTTATGTGTGTCATGCTAAACCTTTTGCTGAGTCTGTGAATGTTGTATGTTCTGATAAGACCTCTTTGTGGCATAATAGGCTAGGACATATAAGCAATAAGGGTTTAGATTTCATGCGTAGGGCTGGTTATTTTGGTAAGGACTCTGTGACTTCTGTGCCTTTCTGTGAATCATGTGTGTTAGGCAAGCAGTATAGAGTCAGCTTCCCTCCTTCCTCTTACCCTAATCTGTCTAAGTGTTCGTCTGTGCTTGAATATGTTCATGACGAT